AGACGGGGGGTGCAGCATGGTCTGTCAGAGTCTGGCAATGCTTTATTTTTTACTGTGGCTTTTATACCCTAAATTAGTACATTTCTAAGGGGAAGATAGTTTAACATTACATCAGCTTGTTCTTCACAAAACCAGGGTGTTTTCTGCATGCTTCTTTGTTTATGAGCGTCTTTTACATTATCTTCTGGCCTGGGGCCTATTGACCTTTTATGACTTAGGTGAATGCAAAGCTGTTTTCCATAATCTATTCTTTAATGAACACAAAGGTCAGTCCTTTTGCAGAAGTTATCAGTTAAATTTATCTAAAATGTTTACCACACAAAGACTCTGCAGCTCCAGTGAGGCAGCCCCTGTTTAGCATTCCTGGTTAAAAGGAACAATTTTAAACTCCTGTTTTTCTAAATCTTCAACTATAACCACTTTTAGAATAAATTTGTATGTTCTCTAATAGGGCTTCCTCACCCCCGAAGGGCTCTGTGCCTATTAGGGCCTTTTGTGTGATCAGGTTCTTTATGCTGTTTATGATTAAGGTGTTGTGAGCAGTCGTGTGCATTAGTATGCATTTGCCAAGCAGGCTAGAATGCCATCAAAGGGGTCTAAATTGAAACATTCCTTTCACCCTGGATAATCTTATAGGATACCACCATCTGGCAGGCATATTAATTAAAGTTCTAAGTTGATTCTGTTTGGAAAGAGATTGGGGAAGGCCTTCTAGCTGTGTCACAGAAATTAGGGAGTAGTCTAATTTAGCAAGCATCAGAAAGACAGAGATCATCTTTAAGGTAAGCCTGGGGCAGCTTTTCGAAATCCCTGAAGTCCTGATCTGCCTTGCTTGTCAGGTCTCCTCCTCACGACCTCTTCATGGGTGGGATCTCGTGTGCTGGCTCCCGGCAGACTGTAGCCTACCAGGTCCTTAGTCCATGGGATTTTCCAGGCATGAATACTGGAATGGGTTGTCATTTCCTTCTCCAATGTAATACAGAGTTTAAACTGAGTTGTATGTTGTGCAATCATCAGTTCCAGGCTTAAAGATAAAAACATTTTATGTGACTAAGTCTAAGGAATGTAGAGGAAAAAAAAAAGTTTGTCTTTTCCTCCTCCTTGAGAATTCCAGACCCCTCCCTCCTTGGGGACCCATGGACTTCTTATCAACCTGCCTAGGAATTGACTCTCTCATTCCCCCCTTTTCTTTTAGGAGAATGATGTTGCCAAGGCAAAGGTGCATAATTTCCATTCCATAACTACTTCCTGCTGTTGAGGGGTGTAGTCCCTAAATTGTTGCTAACCCTCATACTGAGGGTCTCTGATCCAGGGGCCCCAAGTAGTAGCTGGAGGAAGCTTCTGCAGATGTAGGAACCTGGACAACCATTTGTAATTTAAAAGCTTTCAGATGGTTAGAAACAAACCCCATTATACAGTTACAGATATAAGGCAAAATAGTCATTAAGCCAAGTTAAAATCAAAATCAAAAGTCACATTGTGTTCATAGTTACATCAGTCCATCTTAGGATTGTTAGATGTCATCACAGTGTTGAAGGAAGTCCTTTTCTCGAGTGGGGAAACCCACCATGGGAAGTCTTCAATTGATGAGGAGGGGAGTACTCCACAGACCCAGCAGTTAGACTGATTGTGGATTGCAGTGTAGGAGCAATCCCAGGACAGGAAGGCATTTCTTGAGGGTCAAATGGCAGACTCAGGGCTTTTGGAGTCAGCAGAAGCAGGCTCACATAGATTACCAGGCCCATTTGAAAAGTACAAAGTCAAAGCACTGAAAGTCAAGACATAAAATGACGCCACTTAGTTCTGGTCAGGGTGCCACCTCTTAACTCGAGTGTGATGCACCCATGAATCAATCTCTGTCACTTTAACAGCTGTGGGAGAAGAAAGAATAACCTGATTAGGGCCTTCCCAGAGGGGATCGAGGGGTTGCCCCCCTGATCCCCATGTTTATTATTTTTTTTAAATCAGGATCTCCGTTCCTGGCTCAAATAGAGGCTTGCTTCACTCATAGGCTAGGTCAGGAGTCACCTGCCAGAATTCCATTAATGCCTGTTGAAAAAATGAGAGCTGAGTTACATAATTAGTTAATTCTAAGGCTTTAGGTGTTAATAAAGCCATTACCTCAATCACTGTTAGACAGTGTGGCCACCACATGAAATTACATCTAATTCTCTACTTAAATAAGCAATAGGTTGCCAGGGAGGCCCTCGGGGTTGTGTCAAAACTCCCAAGGCAGTACTTTTTCTTTCAGTGACAAATTAAATTCTGACCCTGCGGGCAAGCTCAAAGTGGGAGCTTGCAGGAGAGCAGTCTGAAGAGCCTTAAAAGCCTTTTGAGTATCTGGAGACAAAACCATTTTGTCAGTTTGGGCCTGCTGGGTCTCAGTTATGAGTTTATATAAAGGCCAAGCAAGTTCTTCATAACCTGGAATCCAAATTGCAGTAGCCTGTGATTCCTAAAAATCCTCTCAGTTGTCTTAAAGTCATAGGTAGGGGTTGATTTATAATAGGTTTAATTCTCTATGGGTGTATGGCTCTAGTCACTTCTGATATGATTAGACCCAGATATCTAACAGATTGTTGACAAAGCTGAGCTTTTTCTCTTGATGCCTTGAAACCGCAGCCTGCCAGAAAGTTTAAAAAATCTTCCAAGGCTTGTGAACAAGTTTCCTCTGTCTCAGTACAGAGCAGAATATCATCTACATATTGTAACACTATTACTTCAGAGCTATTAAAGTTTTGTAGATCCTGTGACAATCTTTGCCCAAATAGGTGAGGGCTGTCATGAAATCCCTGGGGCAAAACTGTCCAGGTTAGCTGAGAAGCTGGCTGCACAGGGTCTTCAAAGGCAAATAGAAATTGACTTTCCTCCACCAAAGGCACTGAATAGAAGGCATCTTTTAAATCAATTACTGAGAAATATTTGGTTCGTTCAGGAATTTCAGACAATAGAGTATAAGAATTAGGCACCACGGGGTGTAAAGGAGCTACAGCATCATTTATTATTCATAAATCTTGAACTAGTCTCCATTTACCATTTGATTTCTTTATATCCAAAACAGGAGTGTTGCATGGACTGTTACAGGGAATTAATAGCCCCTGTTCTTTTCAATTCTCAATGATGGGCTTTAACTCTTCCTTAACCTCAGGTTTCAGTGGCTACTGCTTCTTTTTTTTTTTTTTAACACTAAAATTTTTTTTTCATTTATTTTTATTAGCTGGAGGCTAATTACTCTACAGCATTGTAGTGGGTTTTGTCATATATTGACATGAATCAGCCATGGAGTTACATGTATTCCCCATCCCGATCCCCCCTCCCACCTCCCTATCCACCCGATTCCTCTGGGTCTTCCCAGTGCACCAGGCCCGAGCACTTGTTTCATGCATCCAACCTGGGCTGGTGTGGCTACTGCTTCTTATGTGGAGAGAAGTGTGGGTCTTTGAGCTTGACGACTACAGGAATAGCATTTTGTGCTCGACCCACAGATTTTCCATCCGTCCACATTCTAGGATTTACATTTTGTTCAATAAAAGGGAAAGAAAGGGAATGTTCCATATTCATGAAGACAGAGGCACAGGCCTTGCTCGGTATATCCCTTCCCAAAAGGGGTGAGGGAGACTCTAGTATGATTAGAGACTCATGTGAAGATAGCACAGAATCTGTTACAGCTTAAAGAACAACTTAAGTTATACCTTTTGGCCCATCCAAGCAGTCCCACTATGGAAGTGGATGGGGAAGAAAGTGGGCCAGGGGCTTCGGTAAGCACAAAGTTGCCCCAGTACCTAAAAGGAAATTGACAGATTGCCACCCCTGCAACCACCCCCCCCCCACACACACACACAGTTATTAATGCCCAGGATTTCTCAGGTATAATTACGACGGGAGCTTTTGTGGAGAACCCCAGGCACCTTCAGCCCTGATTGTCTTGAGAGTCCAACCCCTGAAACCTATGCCTCTGGGGGCAGTCTCTCTTCCAGTGTGGTCCCTTGAAGACCAGACATGGAGCCAGGGGCGGCTTAGATACCTGAGGGTGATCCCACTTGAGGTGCCACTCCTTTCCACAGTAATAGCAAGCCCATCCTTTTTCACCTGGGTTCCTCTGGGCATTTTTCTCAGACTGTTTAAGAGCAGTTCTGACAGCCATCACAAGGGCTTTCGCCTGTTTGTCTTTTTCTGCTTTTCTTTCTTTTCCTCATGTTCCCTACCATAATAGACTGTTTGAGCCAGTCGCAACA